GATTTTTCTGATTGTCTCCTCATTTATTGAGACCAGTTAGAGTTAGCATGTTCCAGGTTCATTGGTAAAGCAGTAGCATCTTGGAGATGGAACACCTTTGTGTCTGCCTCTACTTCTTTATCACAATCTCGCTGATGTCTCCATCGACTTCACCCCCCAGTCCCCTGTCTCTTTGAGCAGGCCACATATGTGACCTTGATCTTGACTTTGAATGACGTGTCGGAGTCAACATAACTTCTGCATTGTCCCCCTGACATGGATTATTAATGTTTTTTCATGCTTTTTTCCATTATATTATATTTTTATGCACTGCCTGGTGTTGTTAAGGAAATGGAGGTGGCCTATACATTGATTAAATAACATACCAAATGGATTTATTGGATCCCAAAACTTCTCTGTCACTTTATCTTTTGAGTTCTGCATGATCATTTATAGCATATAACTTCCAGCCTCCTAGCCCAAGTGGAATTTGTTATCAGAACTACCTGCTAACTTTTTCTAATCTGCTAGATGCAAGTTATCTTCTCGTGGATCAGAGTGAACAGGGGAATATATTAAAGAAGTTATCACTTAAAATAGGTTTTATTGCCAGTCTCAATTTAGCTTGCTCAAGTTGTCCTTGCCTACTTTGACTTCCTGGTTTGTGTTCTTGTTTTGTGTCTGCAAGAAAACAATTGAAGGACATTGTTGCAAATACTGTTTTTGGGCTAGATGTTGAAACAGATTGTTTTCCTAAACTTTGTGAATGTGTTGTGAGACATGTACAGATTACTTCACACATCAGTAAAGTTAATATCAACACTGAGGCACAGCCCATAGATACTGTAAAAGGTTAGGTCAGCATTTCTGCTTCATTCCCCTGTTATGTATTAGGTATTTATAATGCGGCCATAAAATCCATCCAAGATTTGAAACTTGGCATCAACATTAGAAATCTGCAGTGGAACTGTGACATGATCAGCCAGCATTGCTGCTCTGTGTCATGCCCTCATCCTTGGACAGCCAGGATGTTTAAATTTGGATTGGGGAGATCATATTTCAGTTGCCACTTCGGTTACAAGAAGATTCCTGTATAAATCTGGCTAGGCACTGTCTCCCGGCTCCAAACATTTTTTCATGATGGCTACAGACATGATCCTTTTTTAAAGGAACAGCCAAAGAGTAAGAGAGAGTGTGTGGGGCTGTACATGGACCACGAACAATTGTGTTCCAAGTATGATCATTCCAGTATGTGTGGTTTGATAGTTTCCACATAAGAGGCATGGAATTTGAACTCATTCTGTACCGCTGCATATTCATTAGCACCGAGACTTTGTACATTGTTTATCCAAACACTGGTCTCCCTTTGATTCTGACTGCAATCTGAGTACAGTTGAACCTGATTCATACCAACAAAAACGGGGGAGGGAGAAGAGAAAAGATTTTTGGCAGAGGTTAGGCCCTGGCTGGATAAACACAGGGGCTTATTTATAATCCAAGAGCAATGAAGAGCAAGTGAGCAGCCCATGTAAATCAAAGCCCCATTGAGGGGGAAGCAAAGGAGAAACCAACTCTAATTCAGATATAAAGGCATTTGGGAGGTGCATTTCCTAATTGCACTATTTTCTCTTTTCTCATCAACCAGACCACACAATCTCATTCTTGCCTACTCTTTGGCGGTTCCTTAAAAAATTCTCTTGGGAATTTTTTAGTATTAAATAAACACCATAGAAAGCAGAAAATTGGATCGTATGGTTTTGACTTAGTTTTTGCAAGAAATGGCTGAAATCCAGAAGTGGATCTTACCAGGGCGGATTATGATAAGTGTAGCAGCTGCTTCTCCTTTTTAAGATCTTCATTGCAACATGGGATTTCAGAAGAGAGAGTGTGTGTCCAAGATCCACTTTTATAGAATAATGTAAGAATTAAATATGCCTTTTTAATAAGGATTTGATTGTTTGTGTTCTGACATATTCCCACCTCATCAGATTTCTGGATGGTTGTGATTTAATGTATCTATGGGTGATAAGCCTGTTATTCAACAAATTAATCAGATTTTGACATGACCCAAAATTAGACGTAGACAATCCCTGTCTGGCTGGAGGCTACAAATTAATTCTGCAACTAGTGGAAGGCTGCAGGATGTTTTTTGGTGAAAATTACAGGTATAAAAACCAGAGTGAAAAGGGAAAGGTTGTCTCTCTAAGAAAACACCTGTCTCTGAAAAGTCCCTGAGGCACTGATCCCAAACTGTTGGGCTAGGGGCACATTTGACAGCTTGACACTGTAAATTGTAGGCATTTTAAAAAAGGAAAACTGACTGGTGTAAGAATGGACATGCCCATCCTCAAAATGGCTGTCATGCTGGCTTTGCCCATTCACAAAATGGCTGCCAGCTGCAAAACACTAGTGATTGATGGCAAACTATTTTTTGCCTCCCTTTCTATTTTCCCTGGATGCATCCTAACAAACAAATATGCCTTTAAAACTATTTTCTAGACAAGTAGGTGTCCTTATAAACAAAGCACTGGGCTACAGTGATGACCACTTTTATTTCTAAGAATGTTTACAACAGCAATGCATAATCTGAAAGCCAGAGTCATAGGCTGTTGCCTCCTTTGAATTACGCCATTTTTTTAAAGAAGGGGAAATTATGTACAATTATATGTGAACTATACTTTATTAATTAAATTAAATGTATTTTGTACAAACTGTTTCATTCTAGCTATGCTCACCTTTTTTGCAGCGCTTTGATCCCCTCAGCCTGGAAAAAAAAAAAAGCTAACCTATGGAATTTGGGGAATTTAAAACAACTGAAAATAAAGCTGATTTTGGAAGCTAACGCCTTACGTTATGGCATGCCAGTTTCTTTTTAAAGTTTGATTTAAAATTAAACTATTCTTTAAAAAAAACCTGGCATCAAGAGAAGTGTCTCTGGGTTTCTTGCTGTCCAGGGTGCCACGTGGGGGTTTCTATTCTTGAAACAACATATTTTATATTTCTGGGCTTTTTGTTCTTTGCGAAGAATCCTGATTCTCCTTTCTTGGCCAAATTTGAGGCAACATTTGGATAAGATTTTAATTAAGGCTGGAGTCCAGGCGATGTACCTTGTGGCAAAGCAAGAATTTCTGCTGTGCTTTGCTGCTTCAGGCATGCAAAAGATGAAAGGATCACAGTGGACAAAGACAGGCATGCTTATTTTGGATGTCTCTTGAAATAATCAGTACCTGTAGATTAGGCCTTTCTAATCAGGTTAGTCTGTGATACTCTCACTGGAAAAAATAATCCCCGTTTAGTTCACAAGCTTCCTTTGATTTGTCACTCGCTGTTAGCTGTTTCAAATACTTATGTCATACTGCCCTCTCATGTCCATTCTGATGGAAACCTCTTATCATGTATATTCATAATACAATTTTATTCTCTCATTTCCTTTTTCTCTTAGAACACTTTGATCAACCTTTGGAAAACATTATTGAGGCTGAGTGATTGGTGGGGCTCTTAACCTTTAAAAAAAAATAGTTATAGTAAACAAAATCCCCCCGGTACACTAAAAGACAAAAATTCCTATGGCTATATTTTAACAACCATTTTGCAGTTGTTTTTTTAAAAAAATATTTACTAGTTGAGTGTGATTTCCTTCAGATTGCTATTTATTTAAAAATGTTGGTTTCATCCAAATCCCTAGCCTGCCACTGGGAATTTAATCTTTGATGAATAAATAACTATTCCCGTACATCAACTAGAGCATCTCCTTCAGTGCTTTTGAGTTATACATCTTGTTTTGCTGATTCCTTTCCTTTCCCTGCTTTTGGGACTACTGTGGTGCTTATATTCTTGCAAGCTGCAAAAAATATTGGTTGAGCAAGGAAGGAGTTATTTGCCATAGCTGGAAAGATTGGAATACAAATCAAAACATGGTTGAAAGGTAAAAAATCTCCTTGAACTAAATTTGGTTCTAGAGACTTTATGAGCATGGACACAGCCACATAGCATTTTTGGCAGTAGAGCATAAGTGCTTTGTCATTGCCTATGTCTGTGCTTTTATTCTGATTTCCCATTCTAGCCCCAAATATTAGAATTTGCTTGCAGTTTTCCATCCATGCATTAACCAGTTCCTGTTAAGCATTTTCAAGGTCAGACAAGATGGACTAGAAACAGCCACTAAGCTAGTCAAATCATTGTATTTGTATGTATGTGTGTGTACACATGCAATGTAAACAACCTGTAAACAGCTTTTAGGAAACCAGACAAGTTCTCTTTGCTTGTTTTTCTCTTTCCCACACTTGTATTTTAAGTTTTCCACTTACCCACTCCAATCCTTTTTCCTACAGACCTCAGTAATTTTATACTTTTATGCCACTGAATTGAACCAATTCACAGCAATTTACAGTAGAAATCAAACTAGAAATCCAGTGAAATTGAACAGTAATATTTGTAGGATCATAATAATGATAGTTGTGCTAAAACTTCATCTACGTGGTAGCAAAATGGAATTTGAAGGTGTTTTGAAAATGTTTTGCTTTAGTCAGAGAAGATGGCAGGACTGGTGGAGCGTTAGTTGTCTGGGAGACTGTCACACAGTATTGGTGCCACCAAGGATAAGTACTATCTTCAGTAGCAGCTCACAGTCTTAGGTGTGCAGGGAATGGTGAATATTTCATCCAGGATAAACGCACAAGTCAGGCCAGTCCCAACTGGAAAACACCATCTTGGAGATACTTGGAAGCTAAGCCATCTAGGGCTTTATTATGTGAAAACCAGCTCTTTGAATTGTACCTACAAGCTTACCAAAAACTAATGCAGCACCTGCAGTACAGGTCTGAGACTGAATTATTTCCATTCCTGCAGTTTTCATATTTTGACCTATTTATCCACTCCTCCAAAGATTGATTAGAAGCATCTTCTAAATGTGCTTTTATAATGCCCCATTTCAACAGTTATTTTATGTATACTTCTGTGTTTGTGGGCAGCAGATTTCCATTGCACTATTTCACATGATAGCAGGGACACTGACATATTTTTCTTTTTTAAAGCTATCCCAAATCCTATAAGATGTTTGCAGGATTTCGGCAATCTTACTCCTGAAGTCGTGTCCCAAATCTCATGAGATTTTGCTCAAATCATTATCATCATCATCAACAACAACAGCAACATTTTGGAAGGACTAGGGAGGTTCCAGATGCCCATGGACTTATGGATATGATGATCCCTCATATATGTAATGCGAAGCTTTTTCAGTGGATTACTGAACAGAAATTCATCTCTTATTAATGAGTATGCATATGCTAGTAATCGTTCACTGAAGAAAACACAGGTAGGGTAGATAAAGTAATAAATGGTTGTTTTGTTTTTGTTTTGTTTTGTTATTTGTGCATGGTCATTACCTGGATGCCTCCTAACTATTCTCTTACTAGACTTGAAAAATATCCCTTTTTAGACACAATTACATTATTTGCAATGAATCAGGTTTTTGGACAAAAATCCACTTACTGCATATTCCTAACATGCTATATTATTTTTTATATTTTTTAGGGTTATATCCTTCATCGTGACCTCATGGTTTAAGCGGGCATAAAGATGAGTATAAGCAGTGATGAGGTTAACTTCCTCGTATATAGATATTTGCAAGAGTCCGGTGAGTAATATATATCTGAGGAATTCATTTTGAAACTAAGAATTAAGATTAAACTAAAAAAAAACACAATTGAAATTTATCTTAGCCTGTCTTGCAAGATTAAAGAGAAAAAAAAGTACTATTCTGTTGATTCACAGTGATTTCCCCATAGCCTTTCTTCATATATATTGGTGGAATGACTTTAAGAGGTGAAAATTGGAAAGTTGCAGTGTTTCCATTCTTACTTGCAAATCTGTAACCCAAGAGCAATTGAGTTCTGGGGTCATGTAGGGTTTTATGTTTCCTCAATTGCTGGGGGCTGTCATTGTATATCTGGAGTACAGAGTGACCATTGGCTGATAATCCTTAACCTATCACTGGTTTCCACCAGAATCAAAAGTAGCTATGCAGATAATTGGCAGTTGCCTGAAGGAAATGGAATCCAAAGAAAAGGGGTTCTGTCTAAATTAAAGTTAGGTGCTGCTGGGAATTATCCTCTCCTGGATAAATAGGCCAAAATAGGGCCTTAGGGACAAGGAATGCTTGTATCCTATGGCTCATTCACCAACTACAGCTCTGTCTGAACCAGGATAGCCTAGAAATTCCCTAATAGCCTCCTAGTTAGATTAATTTATGCCAGGGGTGTCAAACTTGCAACGTCACATGACGTGTCGTGACGTATCACGACTTTTTTTCCATTGCCGGCAATGGGATGGGTGCGATTTTTGCATGAGGCATCCGGCCTGCGGGCCAGCAGTTTGACACCCCTGATTTATGCAATGTCTGTCCAAGAAAGCAATCCAGCAATGGCAGCTGGAATAGAGAATATAGCCAAGGTGTTACAGGAATATAACCAAGCAGTTATAGTAGTTAAATTGTTGAACTACTTTAGGAAAGCAGAAAGATTCATTTATTTGTTTGTTTGATCTAATTTATATAGCCTCCCATCAGACAGAAAAAACAACTTGGATAGCTTACAACAACTTAAGCTTTCTAGAAGAACTCCAGCCACAGAATTTCATGGATGACACTCACACTCTCTCCTCCCCTCTCCACCACCCTCCCCACTACCTCCCCCCCCAATTGTTATGGGGATATGTAGGAGGATAAGCATATATGTTGCCTTGAGTGCCTTTTATAAAATATGGGTTATAAATCTAATAATAAACAACAGTAAATGTGGCTGTCATATTCTCAAGTGACATGACTAAATGGTATATACTGTATTTTTCCATGTATAAGATGCTATTTTTTCCTGCAAACACCCTGTTCAAAAATCAGATGCCTCTTATACAAGTGCAGCGTCTTATACATAGAAAAATAATGGGTAACCTCCGCAGTCCAGGTCATGCCTGTGTGGGTTGCCATGCTGCCTGGTGCAGGTGTCGAGCCCCTGCGGGCTTGCCACTAACGGGAAGGGGAAGCGGGCAAGATCGTCGGCTGGCCGAACTTCCGGATTTGCCGACTCAGCTGTTCGGAGCTCCGCCGAACAGCTGATCAGCACAGAGAAACTCGCATGCCAGAGCATCTTATACAAGGGTGCGTCTTATAGATGGAAAAGTATGTACATACATATATACATATACACACACACATTATGTATGTATATACTGTATGTATGTATGTATGTATGTATGTATGTATGTATGTATGTATGTATGTATGTATATGTATATATATGTATGTATATGTGTATGTATGTAACACTGAGGCCCAGTAAGATTGGGTGGGAAGAGCTGGGCCCACCCTTTTTATCTCATTGATACGTGTGATTTAGAGGAAGAGACCCTTCTCAGTGGCAACTCCCCAGTTGTAACTGTTGCTACTATTTTCTTGTAAGCTGTTTTTTTTCCTTCTCTGATAAGAAGAGTGATACAGAAAAACAGCAATAATAGCAACGCAATTTTAGCCAGAACTGAGATTTAAATTTGTATACTTCCATAAAACATCTACTGATCTTTCGGACAATTTCTCAAAATTTAATGTAGTGGCATAATGCAAATCAGTAAATCATATTTTTAACATTTTTGGGGGATATCAGATCAATTTTATGTTAAATATCTGTGATCAGATTCCTGAAGTGACTTTAGCAAAGTTTCTATTAAGGAAGCAAATTTATGTTACCTTATATAAGGACACGGAGGGTTATAATCAAGAAAGTTATGTATTCTTAGTTTTTAAAATGCTATGCATTTTTATGATCTGTAGATCATAAAATAAACTGACTGATTTTGGGTGCATGGTTGACTGACAGCTGCATTGATCATCAAATCATCAAACCAAAGCTTTTTCCAGACAGAATTCTAATTCATCAAACGTAGTTCCTGATTATATTCTGTTTACAGATAGTCCTCATTTACCAGCGACTCATTCAGCCATCATTTGAAGTTAACAATAGTGCTGAATGAGTGGTTCTTAAAACTGGCCCTCAAAGTTCCAACTGTCATAGCACCCCTGCAGACACGTAATTGCGATTCAGGTGCTTGGCAAGCATTTATGATGGTTGCAGAGTCCTGGGTCTTCTACTGATCGCCTTGCAACTTTCCTTGCCAGTTTCCCATAAGCAAAGTCAATGGCCTCCTTGCACTCATGGAGTTCTGTAGCATCCTTTCCTTGGGCTCACATGCATCCCCCACACTTTTTTGTCTGGGATCCCCACTGCTTCCCAGCTAATAACCCATGCGCCTTGGGGTTACAACAAAAGCTGTGATTGTTTGTTGCTAAGGGATGTGGACACGTGACATTGTGTTTTTCTGCTACATCTCTTAGCAACGGCAGTCCTAATCGAAATTGCTGTCACAGCCAAGGTCTTACCTGCGTTTCCAAATTGTTCCTTGAGTATCTTCTTGGTGATCAATGCTGCTGGTTGGTCAAAATACGATGTATTTTCTCTATTATCCCTCTGTTCTGTAAGGACTATTAAGCCAATGGCATTTCTTGGTCATCTGGCTAAAAGTTGATTTATGTTTTGTTTTATTTTAGTTGAAAGTAATGGCACACGTTCAATTTACAGATAAAACAGAGACTTTTTATTTGACATGACATAGCAAAATGGGAAACTTATGGCTATGCAGATGTTGCTTAACTATAATTCCTAGCATGCCTCCTTGTTAACCATGCTGGCTGTATGATTGTGCTAGCTGACCTTATATTCCCCGTTCTTTGTAGAAAATGCAAGAAAGAGTAAAATTATCTCTGTCCATATCAGTATTCATCAAGTTTATAGACCAGTGTTTCTCAGTCTTGAGAGCATGCTGGCTGGGGAATTCTGGGACTTGAAGTCTAGACAGTTTAAAGTTGCTAAGGTTGAGAAACACTGTTATAGACAGCAGTTTTATTCAATTTTTGGATATCATACTTGAGTATGCATTCAGCTGGAGGAATCTGAGGGACTTTTTCTGCAAAGTTTGAAATATATTTTATATGTAATTGGGAAAAAAATGCTAGTTGGAGGCATTCTGATTTGCATTTCTTTTAATTTTTGTCAGTGTGATAAACCTTTTTTGCATGTTGGAAATTCACGACTGTAGATTTGTTTATTTATTTAAATATCTCAAAACTTACACAAATGTTCTCCCTCCCTCCCTCCCTCTCTGTTCCTTATCTCTAAGGCCATTATTTTTCATCCTTATATTTATTTAAACAAACTTGATACAACTTGAAGATCAAGAAAACAGGGCTAAAAGCTCTGAATCCCTTTTGTTTTCATGTCTGGGTGCAGTCCGAATTCATTGTTCAAAGTAGACAGGAAAGTCATTTGAGGAGAATGGCTCTAAGTAAAACCTATTGTGGGTGTTGAAGTAAATAGGTTATCTTTAATGCAGAAAACAAGTAATTTAATATTTCCTTTTAATCAGGGACAGGGATACCTGAGAATTCCACTAACTCTTTCTGGTACACAGGTCCCAACAAAAGGAGCTTGTACCTAAATTGTCCCTGGTTTAATATGGAAGGATTCTCTTCTCCAATAAATTGAATGAAAATCCACAGAGATCAGATTTTTGTATTGTGAAAAGCTGAATACTAAAGATTAATGTGAACTGAACTGAAATAATGCAGGAAGAAACATGTGTCTCTATATAGCAGAACTGGCATTTTATGGCCACGGGCCACCTCCAGCCCTTTGATTGTCCCTGTCTGGCCTACAGTGAGTGTATGTGGGGGGGAGGATGGCCCTCCATAACAATCCCAGTTGGCCTCCCCCCACCTATATAAGACTGAAAATGTCTTGCCAACTTGAGGGGATGCCTGGCTTCTGAGATGGTATTACATTTGGTTTCAAAACTGTCTTTTTATTTCCTTTACCCTTTCTCTCTCATTTTCCTTCTATTTTTTAACAAGGCACTTTGTATTCCAGAAAATTGTTGCTCTTTTCATTTTCTGTTCTCTAAATAGTTTTAGTATATACTTCTGGAAATCTCAGGATTCCCCTGAGCATGCTGTCCCTGCCATCATTTTTTGAGGGTGATGCTTTTTTTTAACTAGACAAGAATTGGGATAAGATGTGAAAGACTTTGATCTACTACATTTATTTCCACTAATTCCTTTCTTGGTCTCTTTTGGCTACTGTTGCTGTGTTATTTCTGCTCCTCTCCCTTTTTGTGCTCCCCACCCCTTTTCTGACTGGGCAGAATAACTAGCATAAATAAATGACCTCATATTCCGTTCAGATTTTCGGTTTCTTAGCTGATTTGTTCCCAGGAGCAGCAGAACGTCAAAGCAGACACTTTAGCTATATTAAGTTCTGCAACTTGTGATTAATTGGAAGAGCATTGTAATCCTGCCCTTTTGAATAGATAATTGAAAGATGTGGGTGTCACAAGAGAAGACAGGGGATGAAACATGTCTGGTTCATTATCACACAAATGACACAACTTAAAACTTTGCGTCAGCTGTTGAGGGACTAGAATGTAATAGCAGGATTGGCATGGTGGTGATGATTAACATGCATCGTTACTGTGTCATTGTGATTTGCTGAAGACAGCACTGTTGGAGAGACTATTGTTCTGAAAGCCGAACAC